AACCGAAAATTTGAAAGTAATTAACTTAGCATACCATATTCAAAGTTCATCGTTCGAATTCCAACCCAAAACACCAATTGTGTTCTAACAACAGTCATCCTGAAATGTAAAATAGATAAGTATAATTATAATATGTTAATTATTCATCATCATTATAATCATGACCATCATTATTATTTTATATATTTCAAAATTATGTAAATTGCCTCATTGAGACAGTGACGTTACTTTGATATCGGTAGGTGAGACCACTTGAATGTCATCATCTCCTGCATCACATGCTCAATTTTTATTTTGTTTTATTTTGTTTTATTTTTATTTTGTATGTTGTTGTTAAGTACCTCGAGGTTGTTAACATTAGGCGCTATATAAATTTATTATTATTATTATTATTATTATTATTATTAGTATTATTATTATGGTTGTTGTTATTATTATTATTATTATTTATTTTAAGTAGTGCAGCGCCAATTATAAGATGTCTAGGCTCTTTCTGGATTATCAAATTTTCTTTGACAAAAAACTGTTGTATGCCCGGCCATACATATTCATGATATGCCTATTTATGGTAATTATGTGATGTCAACATTACCATATTTTGGTACGTCACACGATTTGTCAAACACAATTTGACAGTCTGAAAAGGGCTATACATTTAACAGGCATGAACAAGCCTGTGTCAAAGAGACATAGGAATACTGTATTTGCATAATGAACCTTTCCGTTAAGCCCCGCCCCTTGGATATTGTTGCTAAGGTCTCGCAAGACGCATACGTGAACACGACGTGCGTTTGTGGGACAACACGTGTGTTTGTGAGACTCGCGCGTATTCCTAGCGCTTTTTTGATTGGTCAGTTGTTAATTTTGATTGAAACTGCAAAATACATAGAAATAGCATTATTGATTACTGAGCAAAAAAAAATACATTACCATTAATATTTTATTTGATTCAATTTTATTTATTTGGTATCATTGAAAAGGTGATACACAGGTGATAACAATTTAAATCCTATCACAGGATATATTTCCAAAGTAATCAAAAATATATTGTTATTTCTATTACTAATACTATTGTTACTACTACTGCTACTACCATTGCTATCACTATTGTTACTACTATTGCTACAAGGCGTTTTGCCACTACTACTATTACTATTGCATACTACTATTATTGTTGTTGTCATTTTTTTGAGAATGAACACGTCACTTACATGATATACACTGGTCCATAATTACCCGACGGCATCCATGTAAGTTGTACATTGGCTTTATTAATATTATTGCTATGTGTAGCACTATTACTTGTGCCGCCACAATCTAGTGACTTTGTATTACTGGGGAACGAAGTCCATTGCCCTACGATTCCGTTGTCGGAAACTTGTCGTACTTGAATTAAAAATCCTCTGTAATCGGTTCCACTGATTTGAACTGTGGAAGTAATTAGAAAAGTACATATAAAATCATTTGTAATACGGACCCTATATCTGTGGTTATACTTGTTAAAAATACACAGTAAAATAATTATTACTATGATTGACTAAAAAGCACATATCAATTATTTGACACGTTTTAATATGGAAATATCGAAATTTACTAAATAAATGTAATGGTATAGAGAAAGCATATATAGAAAAGGTATTATATAAACTTCTCTGCTAATATCTTGTTTTAATATTTTAGTTGAAAGCTATATTATAATAACTAATAAAATAGATCTATACAAAGTAAATAATTCGATATATCTTTTAATTTTTAAGTATTGAATATATATATATATATATATATATCATCTTTGATGATTTATGTATATATATATATATATATACATACATACATACATATACA